GCTAGTAGCTTTTCAGGCCTGACATGAACATTATCATTACCACATATCAACCACTTTGCAGATGCAGGGCCATACTCAGACTCCGACTTCTCCCAAGGCTGAACTCGAAATTGGCGTTTGCCGCCAAAGCCACCCATGTGCGTAGCATGAAACCTGGCTCTTCTTGATTCTCATACACACTATGCTGGTTACATCAAGGTATGCCTCAGAAGTCCCATCTCTGGACCACAGTCCTGAACTGCATTGACAGCCAATGCGAACCACTTCCGTGGGCCCGTCAATCCATGCCACAAGCCCGCATGCAGTCACGCTTCATGTAATATTTTATCGCAGGAAACAATTCAATAGGCAACACTTGAGGAGGACCCAGGAGGATGCAAGGGTTCCAAAAAGGCGATAGCTACGGACAATCACAAGGCTCGCGATTCCGACCCCGGACGCTTTCCACACCATGATAGTGCAAGGGTCCAATCAAGGTAGCGTCCTCCGTCGAGATACTAGGGTTTCTACACAAGCGGATTTGAAGGTCAGGCGGGAGAAATTTTGCATTGGAGATGATATCTGGGCTTGGCACAACGTATCTGCTCTTCCAGCTTGCGCCTTTCCAAGCACTGCTGCTGCGATTGTCTGGGAGTCAAACCAATAAAGCCAGCTCTTCCGTTTGGCCCGGCTAACAAAACGAGAATCGAGGAGAACTACCAAAGTGGCAACTTCCCGCATGTTGCCCCAGCTTCAAAGCACCATCTTTGTCAACTCGGTGGTTCTCAGGTTTCTTGATAAGAAGCCGCCAATGTACCTCTTCCGGAGAACACGTTGAACATCATACAAATTCTAAAAAAGCTTGGGTTTTTCCAGGTTGCGCAAAATGCGTGAAGGCGTGGTCTTTTTGGGGTTTCGAAGCACCCGTAGGCCCCAATAAAAACGTAGAGGCGAACCCAACCTACACCATACAGAGCAAGAAAACAGGTATCTGTGAAGTTTCGGAATAGCAAAACTTCAATTACGTAACCTCCAGGCGGCGCAGGCAGCGGAGGAGGTGGTGGCGCTGCTGCCGCTTCCGCTGCCGCTGCCGCTGCCGCTGCGGCTGCTGCGGCTGCTTTGGTGCTGGTGGTGCTGGTGGTGCCGGTAGTAGTAGGAGTACTTACCGACCTTTGCACCGTGAATTCCAGGATGATAGACTGACAGCAAAAAGATGACGACTGCGACGAAGGCAACTCTGACTCGAGCGATGCCTCTGCCTGTTGGCACTTCTGACATGTCACGAAAATGCGAGGGTCTAAAAGCAGAAGGGCCCAGCTCCAGAAGGTCTGCCGACACTTGCGAAATGCTTGCATCATCTTGCGGCAAACGCAGCGGGGGCCCTTTGAGCCCAGCTCTTTATCAACGGTGCCCCAATGCGAAAGTATACATACGCATAGCCCCAGTTTGCTTGGTTCCCAGCTGTACGATGACGGGTCAAGTTCAACCTAGGCCGCATTGGCTTGGACTTGCAGAGGTCTCTAACGTGCAGAGCTCTGCTTCACCTTAAGCCGGTCACTAGAGCTGCTAAATTAGTCGGGTTTTGCTCGGCTCCTCGCTCTAGCTCCAGGAAGACGCCATCAATTGGCCGCCCATCTGGATGAAACCTGTGAAATCATTCAGCTTTGCTCGGGCGTGCACGTGTCTCGCAAGCCATCAGGCCCGAGCACATCCTTCGGGTTCCAGAAATCAGCATGATCTGATCTGGCATCACACCTCAGTGGCTGCCAATGCGTTGCAGTTTTTATGACCAAAGAAAGCAATCATAAGCCATACTATCAAGTGCGCATGAGCAAACTTATGCCGCAGCCGCACTTGGGATCTGCAGGTCCCCAGTGTCCCTCACGGTCTCGATTTAAAGCGAGTTCAATGAGAAAACCCGAGAGGGAGATGATTTAATTCGGCTTGTCTGTCGTTGTTAATGGCAGCGTGAACGATAGCTACATCCTTCGATCCACGTGACCTGTCTAGTTCCTGCGGTTCTCTGATGCAAGAGCGCATCGTGCACAATATCTTATGCAAATAAATGCAGATGCTGTTGTAACACTGATTGTTCATGTTTTTCCCCACATTCCTGTGAGGTTCTAGTTGTTTGATGTGCGGTCGCCCGCCATGCCTGCGTGCTCTTCCGTCGCGGAAACATTTTGGACGCACCCTTGTTCGCTTCAAAATTGGGTTCTCGCTCGGAGCATCCTAAAAAAATCAACGTTGTATAACGATTTTCTATCCAAAAAATAGGTGATTTTGCCTTTGAAGTAATTGGTCTTGGTAGAGGGGTCCGGTACCGAACGGGTCGCGCCCCTGATTCATGAAAATTGCGCTCCCGTGCGGGAAACACCTAAAAACATTCAATACAAGTGTGATACTATACGAACTCAAAAAAGTGCGAAGCGCATAATCTACTCAGCTAGTAAGAGTCCCAGCTTGCCGGTTTAGTCCCCGCGTCCAGTAGCTTATTGATGATTCCGCACCATCAGGACTGTCTATCTCGCGCATGTGCCTGCAGGCTGTGCCCTCATATCGCGCACAGCCAAAATCAACAACCGCAGTGCATGTACGCATCACCTACGTACCATCATGGGCACTTGTGCGGAAGCAGCGGTCGACTAGTTTGATCCGTCTGGCCTTCTTGAATCGACCTGCTATGGCTTGCTCTGGCGACTTTCGCGGTGCAGACTGCCAAGTGCCACATCTCTGGGGAGTTGCAGGCCAACATAGAATTGAATCATTGTCTGCAAGAGCTTACGCCGCAGGCTGCTTTCAAAAGGGCACGTTTTCTCAAAGCCTGGAGCCCCGTACAACCTGCGTTCCTCTCCCTGACTACGGTCGTTGGCTGCATCATGTAGGCAGCCAGATGTAAGTCAAGACCTCGAGCGTGTCACATGATGCACTGTCCGGAGGCAATTCTGCACCTTGGGAAGGAGAGCACCTCAAACCCTACATGTGGTATGCGAGCACGAATGCCTAAACTGAGATATTGAGAATGCAATCAGATAATAAAGCGCCGAGGTTGGCTGTTGGGCCTTCCTTCACATACTAGGAGTGTTTGAGCAATTGCAGGGAACAGCTTTCGGGAGTGGCCGCGAGAAGCAACCAGGCATGAACTTCCTGTCCATTGTGCAACTCTGGGCTTTGGATGCCACTTGCGTCCGTGAAAAGGAACTCCGGGGGTCTGGCAAAGGAAAGTTTGAGAAGTACTTGTTGAGCAAGTTGGCGCACCTGCCGTTCCGCACAAGATGCTGCCCGCTACCGTGTACTCTCCAGTTGTCGTAACAAGTTTGAACACGCTAAGGTGCCACGGATCCCAAATAGTGGTTGCCACGCACTCCGGTCGGTTTGCAGTTTCCTCCTGGAACATGACATCCACCTTGGCAAGCTGAGTTTGGCAAGGGGATGCATGGGGAGTTGAAGTTCAGCCGTGCTCAGACAAGGGCGCGCAGAAGTGCAAAAGGGTTTGTGAAGTTCACGAAAATGTCTTCACCTCAGCCAGCCCAAGCCTTTCCAAATGAACGTTAGCCAAAGTTCTTTGCTTCTGACCGTCAAACTTCTGCACCAACCCGTCATCAGCACCTGCCAAACCAGCATCTCGGCATCTGCTCTTTCCAACCACACGAGAGGCAAGCAGTGTCTGCAGTACACCTCTGCAGCTGTGGAACACCCCAGATTAGAATCACAACCGGCACAAGCGGCACAACCGGTGTGTCAAGAGTTGCCTTAACGCAACATCTGCAAGATAAAGAGAAACGGCAGGACCAAAGTCTCAACAGAAGCCAACATTGCTCTCTTCGTCATTTACTGCTTTACGTGCATAATCAACCGTTACGGAACATGTGATTCATTCCGGTGCATCTGGCAATTTCAAATTTGTCGTTGGCACGCCAAAGCCATGTCCTAGGCTCCCCGGAACAAGCTCAACTTTGCCAGGCGTGCCGACGGGTTTCCAGAAGGGTCCACAGCTACGAGTAGGAATTCTCAAGAACATTTCGGAAATCAATAAAGCTATGAAATCAGAATCTATGAGAATGCTTAGGCAAACGCTCGGCGAGCAGACCCATTATCATCACATTCAGGACCAGTGAACAAACTCAACCAAAACCTGACTTGCAAGAGTTCCAGGTCGTTTTGATCATGCTGTGGCTCAGGCACAACTGGAGTATTTGTTTGCAAAGTTCCAGAATTCTGAAGGGACCTCCAGGGGTTTAGGCCGGTCCCGAGAGTGGCGAAATCTTTTCTTGGGCCCGACCCCCCCCCGCCCATCCCCTCCCACCCGCCCCCATCCCCCCGCTCTCCCCCTACCCCCAAACCGTTTTCGGCTTCCTCCTTCAACCTTTCTTTCCTGAATTCTCACAGCTGCCCTGTCACGACTTGCTCTGTTTCTGCAAGCTGTCTGTCCTCCTCCGCCGCAGACCGCTGCAGTGGAGGCGGATCGCGGTGGCGTTAATATTCGTCGAGGCATCCAGCCCCAGGGCATTCCCCCTTTGCAGACCCCCCCTCAACCGTGTGAAATTTCAGCCTCGCCCAAGGTTCGAGGCTTTGGCAGTACGCGGCAAGCATTTTTCCTTCTGCCCCGGCGGCCCCAGGAGGCCCCTGGAGCCACCTGGAACGGCCTGGAGGCGCCTGGAAACCCCCCGCATGCATGGATGAAGCTGAGTAACCTCTACAGACCCTAATATATACTATGGCTTACAATATATACTATGTCCTATTTATAGGTTTCGCGTTTTGGGCACACTTCATTGGGATTTGCGGTGGA